GGCTCAGAGGGCAGTCTCTTCTTCAAAGTTCTTGCTGGAAGTTGCAACTGTAAACAAAGCAGCAGGATTCACCTAGGTGTTAAGGTTCTGTGTGGCAGACAAGGTCTGTTCAGACTGCTCAAGGCTGGGAAGGGCACAATGAATGGAACACTTTAAGTGGCTCAGACGACTGTGATCAGCAATTCTTACCCCTCCCTCTTTGTTACCAGGGTGGGAGTTGAGAGAAAGGAAGCAAGAGAAGCTTGGGAAAGGTGAATACATTCTTGCACAGAATAAAAGCTTGGAATCCCTTGGCATTTCTAAATAAAGCTGTGAGCCTCCTCTCCAACCCAAGTCTTAGTCTATCGTGACAGGACAAGGACCTGACAGGTGAAAAACAAAATGCTGGTGTACAGCACCCTGAAGGAATGTAGCAGAGTCTAGTTAAGTAACTCTGGGCAAGTCAAGGTCCCTCCTGAATTTGGCTCCATAGTATAAACCAAGTGACCTTCCAAATCTTTACACTGGAGTTTACCAGCAGTAGAGACCACCGACACCCTCTAGCACTTGGCACTCCAAATAACATCTTCCGCAAATCTCAACTTTTCGCTGTTTAAGCCAGACCTAAACTATCTCTCTCTTTTTTTTTTTAACCTAAGTAGTGATTGCTTCTAGAAGAGTCCTGAGCTCTGTCTCCTCCAGAGAAGTCAAGCAAGAAATACTTCAGCTGCCTTCACACTGTCTCTGGATGCTTGAGTTTGCTACCTGAGACCACGTATCTGGCGGTATCTGGTGGCCTCAACCACTTAGAAGTGTTTCCTCATTCCAATACACACAGTCGGCCCTCACAAGCTCCTGGGACTTGAAAGCAAGCCAGGAGACACATGCCCCGCCCACCACGCATCCCGCGTCACTTTCCAGTCTCTTTCCAGTCAGTCACACAGCCCCACATTCACACAAAACACGCGCGTCAGTTCCACGGATGCCAGACCACACTTGCGCCGACCGGAACACCACTCCCGACAGTTTTCCCAGACCGGTCTAACTTTCACCCTATAGCCACCAAGATGGACTTCCGGTTTATACCGGAGGTGGGCGAGTGGTTCCTCGCAATGGCACATGGGATATGTAGTCCTCGCTTGGCGAGTCTAGCTCAAGATTTTCACAAGAGAACGCCAAGAAGCCTCTCCAGTAGGTCAATTGGTCGCCATTCTTTTCCCTAGTTGATGTCCCCCGTTTTAGAATATAGTCACTAGAAACCTCTCAGCCTCGTGTCTGGGTCCAGAAGTACAGGCGGAGCATAGAGCACCCGCTCAAGGGTGACTATCAGCTTGGGAAGATGAGGATTGGATGTAACTAAAATGAGACGATTTAAAGTCAAAGAGGAAGCTGTGGTTTCTGCAGTGGAAGACAGCTGAGGGCAGTGAGTGAGATAGAGAAGGTATCAGGGACACAGAATAAAAGATAGGAGAAAAAGATTTGATTTTGATTTGTGTACTTGTGATTTCAATGTGCAACCAAAGCTTCCTGACATAACCCACCCTAATCCCCAAAACTACACATCTTCACCCTATTCGGGGCTTTATTTTCAGTGACAAAAGAGTGTTTGACACGTAGGAGCAGATAATGGAGGCCCTCGAGGCCCTTATGCCACAGGCAGATGTTGAGCATAATTAAAGCATACTCTTAAAGTCACTACTAGTTGGGCATGGTGGCACAGACCTTTAATCCTAGAACTAAGGAGATAAGATTACGCGGGCTGATCTCTGAGTTTGAGCCGAACCTAGTCTACATAGTGGGTTCCAGGACAACCAGGGCTATGTAGAGATTTTGTCTCAAAAACATACAAACAAAAGTCATTACTAGTATTAATGTAAGGTTGTTTAAATCCATAGAAAGACTCCTGGTATTTTTCATTTTCTTGTTAATAGGCAAGGATGTTGGATAGAGCAATTTAAGTCTCCAGTTAGCAGCTACTATTACTGCACTCGCTCTCTCCCTCCCTCTCTCTCTCACCCCTCTCTCTCTTCCCCTCCCTCCCTCCCTCCCTCCCTCTCTCTCTTCCTCTGTCTCTCTCCCTTGTCCTCTGTTAATCCCTCCTTCTTCCCTCCCTCCCTCCCCCATCCCTATCTGGCTACTTTAAGCAAAAGGATTATCAGTCAAAACAGCCAAATAGACTACCTTTCTGTAAACATGGATCATTTCGAGCACTCAAGGCATATCTTGAGTGTTCAACTACGGTAGCTGATTTCTCCAGCTCCTAAAGGCACAGACACAGCCAGGGCTGAAGCCCAACAGTGCATATACCATAAGCCCCAGTGAACTCTAATGTGGGGCAGTGGGCTGTGGGAGACAGCATGGTTTCTGGTTGAGCACTGGCTAGAGATATCCAGAGACCCAGCAGGTTTCCCTGTAAGGGACAGCATGCATTTCCCCAAGCTCCCAGTGTTGGTATCAGTCTCCCGCGGGTAGAGGCAGCAGGGGAGGCATTGGAGGCGATTTCCCCTCTCTGCTTGCACTCTATCCCCTTGGCCAACCCCCCCCCCCCCCCCCCCCCCCCCCCCCCCGCACCCGGCCGGAGCCTTCCAGCACCGGGACCCATACACCCACACTCTAAATTACAGCTTCTAAAGTTGCCTAACTGAATATAAACACTAAAAAAGACACAAACAATAGGCTTTTGAATGCACAACTAAAAATTCTGATTTCAACATGTAATGAACCTGAGGTCTCTCTGGTAGCAATCTCCCATGTTGCATTAAAAGGCTCCATTGCAGCCTTGGCTTTGAACACATAACTTGTGTACTTTGTTCCATGGATATTTCTACATTACAGCGCCAATAAAGGCTCCCTGAACCACCTCGACTGAGACTTGAGACTTGTGTTATGAATTGCAGTGTCTACACTACAGATACAAAGCTTGCTGTTCTTAAAGTAACACAAAGTGAAAGGAGACAATATTTTCCTCCTGTCACTCCTCAGCATGTATCTTTAAATATCTTTGTATTAGATTAGCATATTTTTAAAATTCCTGTTCTGAGTTACTCTCTTAAGGATCCAGTGCTCTCTTCTCACTTGTGTGGGTACAAACATATGTGGTTCTCTCTCTCTCTCTCTCTCTCTCTCTCTCTCTCTCTCTCACACACACACACACACACACACACACACACACACACACACACACACACAGCCAAGCCTGGTGGTGCATGCCTTTAATCCCAGTACTTGGAAGGCAGAGGCAGACAGATCTCTGTGAATTCAAAGATAGCTTAGCCTACATAGCAAGTTCCAGGACAGCCAAGGCTACAAAGAAAGACCCTGCCTCAAAATAAATAAATCAACAAACAAATAAATGAACAGATCTTTCTTAAAAAAAAAAACCCTTTGTTTTTGCCTAATTGTTAATTGTTTCCTGAAGTTGTCCACATATCTTCATGAGACTCTGTTTTGGAAAGATAATTTATAAACATTTTAATAATACTTCCTCTACATATATTTCTCTTTTATACTTTTATTAAATAATTTCATCTCTTCATAAATTGCCTTATAAGTTGAATTTTAAATATCTATTGTATGTGTTTGGGGTATGCATGTGATAGCACTTGTGTGAAGGTTGGAGGACGCCCCTGAGTGAGGTCTGTCCTCCAACCACCTGAGTTGCAAGGATCAAACTCAGGTCATCAGGATTAGCAAGAGATCCCTTTACCTGCTGAGCCATTGCACTGGTCTAATATTCTTGGAGGTTTTGTTGTTGTTTAGCTTGTTTGGTTTGTTTTTGGTCAGGGTTTATTATGGCCATGGGGTTAGAAACATTCTAAGTGCATTATCCTCTACTCTTCAGCTCCAGGTATTTGTGTCTTTATAGGGCCAGACAGTCTCCAGTGCAGCTACTCAGTTCTGCCTCTGTAAACAAACAGCCAAAGACCATCGGTAAACCAGTGACCGGGTGTGGCTCAATAAAATTGTTTTTGCACAGTTCAGCAGGCATTTTCTATGAAGAGTCAGGTACTGTCTTTTTTTATCCTCTCTGAGCCAAATGGTCTTCATGACAGGAAAATTTTCCCTTTGGAGACAGAATCACCACACAAAGTGTGGAAGTGAACATGTGCCTTTGTGTCAACACTTCACCTTCAGACACTGAAATGTAAATTTCTTATAATTATCATGTTGAAAATATGTATCCAATTTAAAGCCACATAAACATATTTTCATAAATTTAGATTATAGAGCCTACAAAAAGGATCGGTGAGACTTTGTACGTTGGTTTGCCAACTGCCCTCCACTACAGATCAATTTACCCCAGTCACTATTTCTTTGGAAGTTTACCAAGAATGCATTCACAAACCAGTGACTTTAAATAGATCAAATCCTTCAGTTTTCTTTCTTATTCATTGGTAGTTTTAACTTCATGTATAGAAAATCTTGCATTTTCCCAATTATTTTGATTCATTTGTTCCAAGTAGCCCACAAACACTTATGCTGTCTATCCTTTAAGGCTATTGCCAAGTGTACAGGAGAGTTTCCTTACTAAAGAGTTCTAACCTTCCATTCATGTAGCTCAGATCCAAAGCCACGATACAATTCAGCACTATAGGACTGTCTGTTTTGTTTTTATTTTGTGATAGGGTCTAAGTTGCCCAGGGCTGGCCTTGAATTCATGAACTCTAGGATTACAGGTAAGCCCACCATATCCCTGGCTTAGAAGCAAGTTTTCAAGGAAAACAAGCAAGCCTCATCACCAACACTGAGAACTCCTTTCCTGTTCTAAACTCTGGTTTGCCTAGCCTTGTTCTATTGCAGTTTCCATCAGAGCTGATTAGAATAATTTTCTATTTTCAAAAATAAACTTTTAAAAGACCCAAGTTTGCCGACTACTTGGTATGGCTCAGGCACTGTGCTAAGCACATCTTCGGCATTAAGCAGTGGATATGAGCTTTACATGAGCAAATTACATTTACACTACAAAATAACCCAGCATGGCTGTAACATGAAAAACTCAGGGAAAAATGAACAAAGGGGCAGAGAGACGAGTCAGCAAACGAGTGTAGTTTTGAGATCATGATGACAGTGAGGATGGATTCCAGATGAATCTGGAGAAGAGATCCACAGGATTCGATGTGGAAGGCAAAGAAGGGTGAGCAGGTGACTCTCCGGAATGAATCCGCTGATGGTGAGCAAAGTGTGCCGTCTGCCTGAAGGCCCTCCTGCCCTTCCTGCAATTGTACGTTCTCTCTCCAGTATGGACTCGCTTATGTTGATTGAGGTGTCCAATCTGGATGAAGGTTTTCCGACATTCCTTACATTCGTACGGTTTCTTCCCAGAATGGATTCTCTGATGGACACTAAGGGACTGACGGTGGCTAAAGGCTTTGCCACATGCACTGCACTCGTAAGGTTTCTCTCCCGTGTGACATCTACGATGACAGATAAGAGACGACTTGGTCTTGAATGCCTTCCTGCATTCCACACACTCGTAAGGCCTCTGGCCAGTGTGAAGTCTCTGGTGTTGAGTACAGGATGAGTTATCTCCAAAGGCCTTCCCACACTCCAGGCATTTATAGGGCTTCTCTCCGGTATGAACCCTCTGATGTTGAATGAGGTGAGTGGTCTGGCTGAAGGCCTTGCCACAGTCCTTACACTCATATGGCTTCTCCCCTGTATGAGTCTTCTGATGTTGTGCAAGGTGAGCCTTCTGAGTGAACGCTTTATTACAAACCTTACATTCATAAGGCTTCTCTCCTGTATGAATTCTCTGATGCGTGGCAAGCTGTGAGCTGATACTGAAAGATTTCCCACATTCCCCACACTCAAAGGGCTTCTCCCCGGTATGGATCCTCAAATGACTAGCAAGGTGTATATTCTGCCTAAAAGCTTTCCCACACTCTTTACATTTAAAAGGCTTTTCTCCAGAATGCACTCTCTGATGCTGAGTGAGGGATGCGTGGTGGCTGAAGGCTTTTCTGCAAATCTCACACTCATATGGTTTCTCTCCAGTATGAATCCTTTGGTGCACGGTGAGGGACGAGCCATACCTAAAGGATTTGTGACACATGTCACATGTGTACGGCTTCTCTCCAGTGTGGATCCTCCTGTGTTGGTTAAGCCCTATGTGGTCACTGAAGGCTTTCCCACAGTCAACACAATCAAAGGGTTTCTCCCCCGTGTGATAGCACCTCCAGTGACGGACTAGAGAGGTGTTCTGGATGAAAGCTTTGCCACACTCTAGACACTCATATGGCTTCTTGCCTGTATGGCACCTCTGGTGTCGTGCGAAGGAGGAACCGTCACTGAAGGCCTTCCCACACTCATTGCATTGATAGGGCTTCTCTCCAGTATGAATTCTCTGGTGGACCGTGAGGGATGAGCTCTGGGTGAAAGTTTTCTTACATTCATCACATTTGAAAAGTTTTTTTCCTGAATAGATTCCGGTTTCTTTTATGGCTGTTGGATTTGGGAGGAAACTTTTACCTGAGTCACAGCTATGACTTCTCTCTTCTGAACTGTTCAAATGAAACCATCTTCCAGATTTGATACACATACCATCTCTCCCCTCTACGAAGGCTCTGTTCTGAGTAAGTGTCTCTTGCTCAAATGGTGTGTCCTGCCCATTCCTTTCAAACACCCACTCAGGATCCTGATCTCCTCTGACGGTGGAGCACTCAAGTTTAGTGCTCCCAGTTCCGCCTGCTGCCCTTTCAGCATGTGAGGCCTGCCTGGGAAGCAACTCCTGGTCTTCCTGTATAGACTGCTGCTGGCCTGAAACAGACCGAGAAAACACGTCTCCTTTATTATGTACCAAGAGGAAGAGATCTGCTTCTGATTCTCCTTGCAATATAACCCCTGTCTGCCCTGCCCTTCTGGCATGAAGGAGCCACTAGGAATAACATCTTTGTTTCCCTGCAATATCTGAGTCAAAAATTCCAAACCAGAGAGAGAGAGAGAGAGAGAGAAAGAGAGAGAGAGAGAGAGAGAGAGAGAGAGAGAGAGAGAGAGGCAGCGCGCAAGAGAGCGCTTTCCCTTTCTCCAGTCCTCTGCTGATGCCTAGCAGGTATGCAAAATGAAACCAACAGGTCATTTAACATTTAAAGATCCCCAAGAAACTGAGAGGCTGACAGCACCAAGGGGTAAGAATAAAAAGAAAACGACATGGAAATGAGGTGCTAAAAGAAGGCAGAGAGGAAGAGGAGTCACTCTGAAATCTTAGAGTGTGATTCTCTCTCCAGACTCTCGAGACCTAGCAAGACTTCAGTGTGTGGCAGTGAGAATTCGCATCCTGATCAGAGCAACAGTGACGTCACCAAGCCATCTGCACAGTCTCCTGGAAACAAGCTGGGTGCTAGTGCTAGCTGTCTTTGTACCATTGAGAGTTCCTTTCCTTGCCCCAATAAAGAGACAAAATGTGTTTTAGAAACACCGTGTCCTGAAGGAGTGAAAGAGAGAGTGTCTACATATACTCTTGTCACGGTGAAACTGACTAAGCAGCTTCCTGACTTTGACTGAAAACAACTGTTACTTCGAGAAGAATTAGAGAGAGGGAGAAGAATCCCTCAAAGACAGCACTTCCCTTGCAGAGGGTCTGAGTTTGGTTCTCGGAGCTCATATCAGGCGGTGCACAATCACCTGAAACTGCAGCTCCAGGGATCGAATGCCCTCCACAGGCACCTGCACACACTTGAAAACAATTGTTAAACAAACAAAACCCAGAAAGGAAGGACTCCCGAAGAGAAGACTCAGCCCTGGGAGGGAAGAGGCCTTACCTAAGGCCTCCAGGTCATCACAGTTCTCCCATGTCACACCCGTACACAAACTCTTCTGAGCTGACACAAGCTGAGGAGGACTATCTCTAGCCAGTTCTAAGTTGGTCTTCAAGTCCTGAAAAGGTATAAATGTATTGATGAACCTGGGTGGCCAGAGAATGGTATAATGTGTCCATACACTGTAAGTGGCAGTCTGTGTTACTTGAGCTGAGCAACTGAGGTTAGAGTTAGACTGTGGGTTGCCTATTTTGTACGTGTGCCTGTGGCCGCTGGAGGTGGAGGGGGGATGTCACAGAGTGGGGTCCTCTGGAAGAACCTCCCACTATCTTCATCAGATCAGCTGTGTCTGCTTGCATGAGAGCAGCAAGAGCAACCTGTGGGCTGGTGACACTCTCTTAGAGAGGTGGGAGAGGGTTGCAGGACCCTCACGTGAGAGTCCAGCCCCTCCTCCCAGACACCTGAATGCAGTTCTGCACTAACTGCACATGGCATCAGAAAGCACACAGGCTGCGGAGGTTTGTTCAAAGGGGACTCCATCCATGCCACTGCGGAGGAGCCACTGTTCATAATGGGTGAAGACTTTCCAGTGCAGCCACTTTGGGGTCACCCACACTTCTCCCAGCATTTCTGACCTATGCTCTGGAAGAAAACCCAAAGAAGCCATTAGTCCCGCTGGATGAACCTTTGGTGGAAGCATATGTTGGTGTGCTAGCTAGTTTAATGTCAAGCCGATACAGGCTAGAGTCATTTGAGAAGAGAGAATCTCAGTTGAAGAAATAATCCTATCAGAAAGGCCTACAGGCAAGCCTGTAGGATGTTTTCTTAATTAGTGATTGACGTAGGAAGGCCCAGCCCATTGTGAATGGTGCCACCCCTAGACCTGTGGTCCTAGATATAAAAAGACAGGCTGGACAAGCCATGGGAAGCAAGCAGTAAGCAGCACTCCTCACAGCCTCTGTGTCAGCTCCCGCCTCTAGCTTCTTTACCTTGCTTGACTCTCTGCCCTGACTTCCCTGGACAATGGACTACAAGCTGTTATATGAAATAAAACCTTTGTCCCCAAGTTGCTTTCGGTCATGGTGTTGTATCACAGCAACAGAAAGCTAAGACATTTGGTCATTAAGACCTTATGAGGAGGGGTAGATGTCTTCACCTTCTCAGGGAAGGAATTCTCCCAGCAGAGAGGGATGGGAGGGACTACTGAGATCCTGCTCACAGTTTTCAGACATTTGCTCTAAATCAAACATGAGACCCCTGAATGGCATGTTTGTGACTCACCCCACCCACCCCCACACTTTTACAGTATGGCTCGAGTGACTGCCATAACTCTTTCCCCTCTGTCACAACCTCCCCACAGGAAATAGTATTCAAGTGGAGATTTCTCTACTCTCCAAGGAGTCATAAATGCTGCCTAAAGTTTATCCCCAACTTACCCTCTGTGTCTCAACCATTACTCTCTGACTTTTGTGGCATACATATAGACACACATGGGTATATTCACCTAAACCTAAGCACACACAGGTATACACACATAAACACATACCAACTTACCCTCTGTGTCTTGAACAGAGCGTCACCATCCCAGGTTGGCCCTGACATGGAGCACTTAGGTCTATGGTGTAGGAGATGTTTTCTTAGCACTGCCTGGGATAATGCTTCTTCATTTAAGTCCTTTGGAGGGAACTCCTTGGTCTCCTGCACAGCCTTCATGTCTAAACAATATTAACAAAGCAAACAGCTTTCATTACGTGTTGTATGGGGGGTGGAGGGTACACATGTGATACACGGATATACATGCCAGCAAAACACCCATACACACAAGATAATTCTAAAAATAAAAAACGAAGGGCTAGAGAGATGGCTCAGCTGTTAAGAGTACTTGCTGCTCTTCCAGAGGACCTGAGTTCAATTCCCAACACCTGAATGGTAGCTCACAACTGTAACTCCAATTCCAAAAGATCTACAGTCTTCTTCTACCCTTTGCAGGCACCAGGCATGCATACACTGCAGTGCTCAGACATATGCACAGGCAAGGCACCCACATACATAAATTAAGTTATAGAGATACAACATAAATAAACAAATAAATAACAAAGATGATTCTGTAAAAATGAGAGGCAAGGGAGGCATGCAGAGAAAAGTGAATTATCTACGAGGGCCTGGAGCCATGCTGGAGAGCAGAGAGAACATGGAGAGACTCTGAGTCCGAGAGAATGAGCTGGGCTGGCAGCTGCCACACTGTTCCACTTCCTCACACTCACCCGGGCTCCAGCCTCTTCTCATCTTTCTTTTCATCATCCAGGGATGCTTTCCTTGTTCCAACAAGGTGATCATATCTGGCTTAGAAGCACAAAGGCCTAGATCCATGAGAAAAACAGGAAAAAGAAAGAAAGAAAGCCAGGATGTGGTCATGCTGGGGGTCTTGACTTGGAATGCACTCCCCTTGGCTCGACAGAAGAGAGCGCTGCAGGGATCAGGGGAGAATAAATGGAAGATCCCACTACCAAAGGCATGAATGGGGAAAAAAGGCAGGGGCAGGAGTGGGGATTCCCTCACCCAGGGATGCCAGGTTCCTGTAGTTGTCTAGCATCACCTTCCAATAGAGACTCCTCTGCTCAGAGTTGAGCCATTCCCACTCCTCCTGGGAGAAAACTACAGCCACATCCCCAAATGTCACCAAGCCCTGAAATGACAAAAACGTACTGTTGCTCAGCCAGCACCCACCATCACAGGTCACCAGAGGGTTAAATAAACCGTGTCCTCCCACCCTGTGTTCAAGTCCCCATCCTAGCCATTTAGGAGGGAAATGCATTTGGAGAGCGTCTGAGTTAAGGTTACTATTGCTATGATGAAACACCATGACCTAAGCAAGTTGGGAGGAAAGGGTTTATTTGGTTTACACATCCACACTGTAGTCCATAATTGGAGGAAATCAGGATAGGAACTGAAGCAGGACAGAAACCTGGCTGGAGTCAGGAGCAGATGCAGAGACCATGGAGGGGTACTGCTTACTGGCTTGCTCCCCATGGCTTACTCAGCTTTTTTATAGAACCCAGGACCACCTGCCCAGGGGTGACCCCACCCATAATGAACTGGGCCCTCCCCCATTGATCAGTAGGTTATGAAAATGCCCTACAGGCTTGCAAACAGCCTGATCAGTGGAGACATTTTCTTGAGGTTCCCTCCTCTCAAGATGACTATAGCTCGTGTTAAGTTGACAAAAAAACTAGCCAGCACAGGCGTGTAATCACATTTTTAAAAATGTCATCATTTCCTAACAATACATAATGAAAGCTGAGTTCTTTTGAGCACTCCAGGTTCTTAGAGCCTGTCTCAACCATGTGTATCCTGGAACAACGCAAGGACCAGGAAAGAATCCAGAACAGGGCCTCAAAAGATCTGAACAGCTCATTCCTCAGGGAGGGCCTGAGGGTTGCTACTGCCTGTCACATTCATTGGAGGTTCATTAGGAGAAAGTAAGAGCAACCTTTTAAAATATGAGTGTGCAGCAAGAATGAAAACCACTATCAGTTTTTAAATTAATGTGTTCAGGTGCTGTCACGGTGGCACAGACCTGTAATCCCAGTACTTGGGAAACAGAAACAGAAAGATTCCAAGTTTGAGGCTAAAGTGACATACACTCACACACGCACACATAAACCCACAACATGCACCTCAAGATCCTGTCTCAAAATAAAAGACCAGGAAGAAGGACTGATAAGCCAATCTTTTCAGCCTGCAGATCTGAGTTTCCCTCACTGTATCAAACCTGATGACACCAAACCTAATAAACAAATCATAGGGCTGACCAACACCTGAGCTCTTCTGCTGGAAGGTCTGTATACTACAAACCAAAGTTCCCACAGATGTCAGTCTATGAATAAGACACCATCATAACTTTAACCTGAAGGCAAGACAGGACCAAATAGCTCTTAAGTGCACGCGTGTGTGTGTGTGTGTGTGTGTGTGTGTGTGTGTGTGTGTGTGTGTAGGCCAGGGCTCAACGCTGTGTATCTCTTCCTCAATCACGTTCTGGTCCTTGTGCTTGCCCAGCAAACACTTTACCTTACCGACTGAGCAGGCTCCCAGCACCAATGTTAGTAAACCCCTGCTGGGGAAATTTCCTTAGCTGGAGATTGAAAAGAGCTGATGCAGTCAGTATACCTCACCTGGCAACACTTGGAGAGCTAAGAATTGGTCTGTGAACTTGAGCAAACCATGAGCTAGCGTGCTTGCGTGAGCCACCTAGTCTAAAACCCAATGCTTCTTGGCTCTCAACATCCTGCCTGCTGTAGCATCCTGTAACCAAGAACAGAACTGACTGCCAACCAGAGTAGTCTGCACTCCAGCAGACTGCACTAACTGGATACAGTGGGTTGTTCACACACAAAAAGGAAACGAGTAAACTGGGGGGTGGGGGTGAGGAGGCTATCTCTAAGGTACATTGTTTATATACCCAGAATTGACAAAGGGTAAGTAAAAGATACTCTCTTTCAAAATAGAGAAAGAAAGCAAGAAAGATCCTGGTACTGAGACCACTGTGACTTTTTGTACAGGGATATTTATATTCTCCCACGGTCTCCCAGAGGCATTTTACAGGGCCTAGCCCTAGAGTTCCAACTTCATGTTTCTGAGTGATCAATATAGTACTTATTTTTTTCCCTTCAGATACTTTTCAGATATGCTTTATTAACCAAACCAAGTCATCTTTATGTTTTTTAAAATCTATGTTTTCAGAAATATGAGAGAATGAGAGAAAATGATGCCTATTTTGGGGGGGAATATGAAAAACCACATTTGTGTATACAGCAATATAGTTTACATGTTATGTGATACTACAATAGAATGAGTTTATAATTTTTAAACAGAATTGTTTTTAAAGGGAAAATCTTCAGGTTACAAAACTCATCCTAAAACTGTTTTTTTTTTAAGTCATTTTTCTAAATGGGCCAATGGGACAAATATGTTCAGTGTCTCATCATGCCTGAATCCAACAGTGCTGGCGTCTATTTCTCTAGCGTTTCCTAGGACCTTCATCCACTACTCCTACCATCAAGGAGAATAGAATTGCATGACTCCCAAGGGAGAGAAAAGCAGTACGATGTTTTCTTATAACTGGCAATAATTTGGTTTGACTTTTCTTTTCCTTCTTGAAACAAAAATCTCACTCTGATGCCTGGCTCATTTCAAACTCTTAGGCTAAAGATGCTGCCGGGACTATGTACTGCAGCATCCTGAGTGCCTGAGACAACAGACCATGCCCCCACACCATGCCATCCTTCCTCCCTTTTGATTCTTCTATATTCATTTTCTTTCCTTCATCTGAGTCCATATGTGCATGTGTGCGCGTGTGTGTGCGTGTGTGCATGCGTGTGTGTATGCATGCACCTGTGCCTGAAGAAGCCAGAAGTCAGCATCAGGTTCCCTAGAGCTCCAGGTAAAGGCAGTGTTCGGCTGCCTGATGTCTGTGTTGAGATCCAAACTCTGATCCTCTGATACAGCAGTAAGTACTCTTAACCACAGACCTCTTTCCAGCCCCAATATTTGAGATTTCAAAGGCTCTAATCATGAAATATGAAGGCAATTTTCCAGAAACAAAGAGAATGAAGGTGACAAGCAGAAGTCAGAGGTAATGAGGAACCATGTCTCAGACATCTGTTCAGTCCCTTTAGGGATGGGGCCTTTCTTCAAGGGCACCTTGGAGAGTTTTGAGCAAAGAGTAGCAAGAGCTGACCTGTGATGGACTCTGGCAATTCAGAAGAGAAAGGAGCTGAAGTACACATCACAGAAACACGGAGCCATGAGGCCAACAGTCAGAAATAAAGATGATCCTAGCATTTGGAACACAGAGGCAAGAAGATCTCCATGAGTTCAAAGCTGTCCACATAGCGAGCTCCTGGTTTGCCAAGACTACATAGTGAGACCCTGTCTCAAAAATCAAAGGAATAACAGAGAGGGATCCCAGACCCAAGGTAGGCAATCTGGACTCTTGCATGCTGCCTTGACTTTCTGTGAACTTTTCTATTGTGAAATCCTAGAGATCAAGAAATGTTTTTAAATTTAAAATCTCATTCCATTTATGTGTCTGTAATTGTATGTGTATGCAAGCATGCGTATAATGTGAATGTCAGAAGAAGACTTTTCAGCTTCTCTCCCTCCTTCATGTGGCTCCTGGGGATCATACTCAGGTTGTCTGGCTTGGCAGCAAGTAGTTCACTTCTGAGCCATCCCACCAGTCCAGTTAAAAATTGTGAGGTGTGTGTGTGTGTGTGTGTGTGTACGTGTATGTGTGTTGTATACGAGTGTCCAGGTTCCTGTGTCCCTGACATAACCAGCATGCTGAGTTTCTTTTGTTATTGCTTTGAGACAGGTTTTCTCACTAAATTAGAAGTTTACCTTTTTGGCTAAGCTGACTGGCCAGAGAGCTCTATAAATGTACCTGCCTCTGCTTGGAATTTCCAGTCTACAGGAATATACCTCCCTTCTTACACAGGTACTGGGGATTCAAACTCAGGTCCTTCTGCTTCAAGAGCAAGTGCTCTTACCCACTGAGCCCTCTCTTCAACCCCCTCAATGAGCCTTAGCCACAATATATTACTCCTCCATCGTGAGCATCATAGAAACCAGGTAGAAGGACTGCTGCACTTCTGAACATAAGAATCCTTCTGAAGCAGGATATGGTGGCAAACACCTTTAATTCCCGCACTTATAAGAGGCAGGCAGAGCTCTGTGAGTTCAAGACCAGCCTAGTCTATATAGTCTACATAGTGAGTTCCAGGGCAGCCAGGGCTATGTAGCTAGACCTAAACCAAAACAAAAAATCCTTCTGAGATTAATGGAACAATGAAGGGGATGAATCATTTCTTCAACTAAGAAAGAACAGTTGGAATGAAAAGGAAAGTGAATCAGTTTAAAGCTATCCCTGTAACCCATCACTCACCAGAGCAGGAAGAAACAGCACCAGGGACAGGTCTGTTAAACTGAAAACTTTTCAGAGAAAATAAACACTATTAAGTGTTGAAAGAGCAAGACTATTTTAGGAAGCAGAGAGGAAAAGTGACTCACCTGAGACTTGGCTTTAAGTTTAGTCCCTGTTGGGGCAGCTTCCTGTTTGCGGTTTATCTCCTGGAGGAAGTTGGTATCTCTGGAAAGCAGAGCTAGGGGAAAGGAAGGGCTAGACACCAAGTCTACACAAGACTACAACCTGCATGAGCAGGGTGGGACAGTTTTAAAAAGAGAGATGAAATCCCCTTATTACCCTGTGCGGGAGTAAGGAGAGGGGAGGATGTGGAGTGCAGTTGTCTCTTTTTTTGTCTTGCTTGCATAAATATGTGTGCACCACGCGTGTGTCGGATGTCCATTAAGTTCTGGGGAGAATGTTATATCCCCTGCAATTGGAGTTAGGGATGGTTCTGAACCACCATGTGAGTGCTAGGAACCAAACCTGGGGCCTCTGCAAGAGAAACAAGTACTCACAGCGGCTAAGCCATCTCCTGTCCCACTGGGAGTTTCATTTCTTGAAGCGTGGACATGGAGACAAGTCTAAACTAAGTTAACCCTGGAGATGACAACGTCCCTCCAGTACCTCTGTCTGACTGCTCTGACTCAAGTTGAGCTTTCAAGGATTGATTCTTATTTAACCACCACAATCAAGAGCCCAAAGACACCATCTCCAGCACCAAGGCCTCGAGAACCCTCGGACCTTACCCTTCCTTCACACCCAGAACAGATTCATCTTTGTCCACTCAGCCCAGCTACATGACACTCACCTTTGTGCGCAGGCCCCGAGGTCACTGCTCCTTGCCCTCCCTGGGAGGCCAGGCGGGTCCTGGAGCGCGGCCTTCCCCGGGCGGTGTGCCCCGCCGCCGGACCTCCAGCAGGCCTGGGCTTTGTGCAGAGGGCGCCGCGCCCGAGGAGGGCCCGGGGTTTCCATGACTCTACACTCGCCACCCCACGCATGTCACGCGAGGGGCGCACGCTCTCCTTGCCAGGCTGCAGACACCCTCCAAGGCCCCGGCTCAGGGACACACCCCTGGCAACATCCACGCCCGCCACGCCCCGAGCAGCCACGCCCTCGCCCTGCCCAGGCCGGCCCTAAAGGATCGGACCCTCTGGCAGTTCGGCCGGAACGCGCCGGAAGTGGACTTTGCTTGAGCGCAAGGCCCTTGGGAAGTGTAGTCCCCCAGCGGAGAAATCCGGTAGAGCCCAGCTGCCTCAGTGTTTTTTACAAAAGACCAAGTTGGAGAACAGCGGGACCCTGCCGGAAACACGGGTCCCGCGAAATACAAAACAGTTCCTCAGAGGCTTCTGGGAGTTGAGGTGGCAATCAGAGCGTACGTGTGCTGCGGCAGGGCTAGTGGCGCGTGGTTTCAAGTTATTTGGAAGGAGGGGAGTTGGGGGATGGTGTGAATTGGGCTGAGGTAATGCCGGGCTTTCGGCAAGTCCGCAGTGGTTCTGGTTGCGCGTACTTTTCAGTTTGGGATTCAGTTGCTGCCATTACAATCTTCACCTCTCCACCAGACTAACTCAACTCTAGTGCCTAGTGTTCAAAATGTCCCTCTGTGTGTACTACCAAGTTCTAGGTCTGCAGGCTTCCCCAGGTTTTCTTCTGGGGTGCCACTTTAAAATGTTTATTCTTGCCTTTAATCCCAGCACTCGGGAGTCAGAGGCAGCCGGATTTCTGAATTCGAGACCAACCTGATCTGCAGAGCGAGTTCCAGGACAGTCAGGGATACAATGAGAAACGGGGGCGGAGGAGGCGCAATTTTATTCTTTGTCGGTTTCATACATGTATATATACTTATCTTGATCATATCCAACACAAATCCCCTCTCCCAGCCACCCCCAATACTTCTGAATTCTTGTCCCCCGCCCCCTTTTTTAATATAGCCAACTAAATCCAGTTAGTGCCGCCTACCAGTCTATGGGTGCGACACCATCCACTTGAGCCTGGGCAATCTACCAGGGGTCACATCCCCAAAGAAACATGACTCCCTCTCTCCCAGCTGCCTTCATTTGCCTATAACTCCTCAGCTAGATGTGGAGGGGTAAGCCCTTCCTCTACCCGTGCTAGAATATTGATTGACTCGGTCTTGTGCTGGTAATCACAGTTTCTATGAGTTCATGAGCACAACAGTCATGACGTGCCCAGAACTATTCCACAGCACTCCTTGCCATTCTCAGACTCTTACATTCTGTCTCTTCCGTCTAGTATGATTGTTAGCATTCTGTCTAAACTCCACTTCCACAGTTACCTGGCAACAGCCAGGTAGGCCTGCCCACTATAAAAGGGGCTGCTTGCCCCCTCCTCGCTCTCTTACTTTTGCCCTCTTGCTCTCTTTCCTCTAGCTTCTCTCTGTCCCCTCGCCCCTCCCTCCTTCCCCCTCTCTCCACGTGGTCATGGCCTGCTCCTCTATCTCTCTGCGCTCTCTCTCTCTCTCTCTCTCTCTCTCTCTCTCTCTCTCTCTCTCTCTCTCTCTCTCTCTTTCTCTCTCTCTCTCTGCCTCTACTACCCTCCTGGCTCCCCTCCCCATGCCCTGAATAAACTCTATTCTATGCTACACTGATGTGTGACTGGTCTCTCAGGGGGAAAAGATGCCTCGGCATGGACCCACTGAGACATCCCCTTCCCCCATACCTCTCCACACACCCACAGAACATCAATGATGTTCTCCGACCCTTGAGAAGGTAAACAAAAATGCCCCGTGTAGTGCTGTGAGCTTCTTGCTTTTGACATTCGCTTTTCATCTAAGGGAGTGCTATGTGGTCCTGGCTGTTCTGGAACTCACTCTGTAGACCAGGCTGGCCTCGAACTTAAGAGATCTATCTGCCTGCCTCTGCAGTGCTGGTTTTAAAGGTATGTGTCACCACCACCGAGCAAGCAGAATTCATTCTATATATAAAATGTTTGAGACCAAGGGTATTAGATTAATTTGTTCTGAGTTGGAAATATGTGCATACCATAATGAAATATTTTAGAAAGGAAACCAAAGTCTAAATATAAAAACTACTTATGCATCACAAACACCTCATATAACCTGAAGGAAATCTTATACTAAATTTTTTTAAGCAAAAACAATCTTGCAGCATTGATTGTCACCCGAAAGATTTTTTAAAGGTTTGTTTGTTTGTTTAATATAAATGAGTGTTCTATCTGTATGTACATCTGTATGCCAGAAGAGGGCATCAGATCCCAGGACAGATGGTTGTGAGCCACCATGTGGTTGCTGGGAATTGAACTCAGGACTTTTGGAAGAGCAGACTGTGCTCTTAACCTCTGAGCCATCTCTCCAGCCCCTGAAAGACTTGTTTTTATTTTATGTGTATGAGTGTTTTGTCTTTGTGTATTTATTTGCATTACGTGCCTATAGTTCTTGTAGAGGCCAGAAAAGAGCATCCCCTGGAAGTTGGGTTACAGGCGGTTGTGAGCTACTACATGGGTGCTGGGACCCAAATCCAAGACCTCTGCAAAAACAGCAAGTGTTCTTAACCACTGAGCCATCTCCCCAATCCTGACAATTTGGTAACAAATTTTTAGTTTTCTTATTTTTATTACAACCTGTTACATGGGAGTAGACTTTGCCTCTTGGGATGTCATCTAAGTATTCAGAAAGTTTCAGACTTTGGAGCATTTTAGATTCTAAACATGCAGCTTAAGGATGCTCAATTTGGTCACTAAAAGACCACCTGAGGTTCATTCAGGAATGCAAGGCTAGTTCAACATCCAAAAATCAATTTACGTAATTTACCATGGTTAACAAGCTAAACAAAACTCACAGTCAACTCTAAAGACTTAGAACCATGGTTCTCAACCTTCCCCAATCTGCGGCTCTTTAATACAGTTCCTCATGGCGTGTTGCTACTTCAAAACTGTCATTTTGCTACTGTTATGAATAGAAATGTAAATATCTGATATGCACGATATCTGATATGTGACCCCTATGAAAAGGTCTTTCAGACTCCAAAGGGTCGCAACCCACAGGCTGAGAACTGCTGACTAAGAACCATCCGGAACCATTACCACAATCCAAGAGCCAGGGCCCTCTACAGGAGCTAAACTCCTAAGGGCTGCCCTGACAGAAGCTGGAGCCAGAAGAACTCAGAGCTTGTGAAGGAATTGGCAAGAGACCAGAAGCTGCATCAGCACCCAAAACAGCAGCAGGTAAAACACATACCCTGATTTCTCCCCAACTCCCAGCCTCCAATAGCTGTTGGTGTCTCCCAGTGAATTACTGTTACAGAAACCAGTTGACAAAAGGCCTCTGAGAAAAATAGTTTTCAGTCTTAAACTGTAATATAGCATGTAGGAGGGTGGGGAGGAGAAAAAGAGAATGAACTTAGGATAAACAAGAAAAGGAAGGCATACAGTCCAACAGAACCTACCATGAGATGGACTTTGCAAAAATCACCCACAGGTCTCTGGAACAACTAGAATGGAAGTGTGGGTCCCCTGTTTTCCTATTTCTGCAGTGTGTACTCATCATCATGTGACCTTTTCATTTTGCTTTTATTCAAGGTCTCACTAGGTAGCCCTAACTGCCCGAGAACTCTGTAAACCAGACTGATCTCTAACTCGGAGACTCACCTGTCTCTCCCTCCAGAGTGCTGGAATGAGATCTTTGTGCCACTAAACCCAGCCACAATCACCCTTTTAAATTTTATTTTTATTTATTTATTGTATGTGCACATTTGTGGGTTTGGTCGCCTGTGTGTGTGTGTGTGTGTGTGTGTGTGTGTGTGTGTAGCAGAAGTCAGAATTGGGAGTCTATTGCCCTCCACCTTATATTTTGAGATAGGATCTCATGGTGAACCTGGAGCTCACTATTTCAGCCTGACTGGGGTTGTTAATAAATATAAGAATGTTTCTTTTGGGGGCTGGAGAGATGGCTCAGCGGTTAAGAGCACTGACTGCTCTTCCAGAGGTCCTGAGTTCAAATCCCAGCAACCACATGGTGGCTCTCAACCATTCGTAATGAGATCTGATGCCCTCTTCTGGTGTGTCTGAAGACAGCTACAGTGTACTCATAAATAAAATAAATAAATAAATCTTTAAAAAAAAAAGAATGTTTCTTTTTTTAGCCTAGAATATATATGCATTTTTTTCCCAAATAAATTCTAATTTTTTTGTTCCAATCTTTAACTTTTAGGCACTTCCTAAAACAGATTCTACATGCCAGACCATATTTAATTTCTTTACCATTAAGGAAACATAACTTTAGAATCATGAGAAAGTTCCCATCTTAAACACACTACACATGCTAATTGTCAACCACTTGAACACACTTTCAGTTTTTAAATTGTTATCATCACCTAAGCCATATTCCAAGTCCCAGAGGCCATGGTTTAGAAGTAATGTGTCTGGTCTAATATATTTTTTAAGCACTTTGTATGGGTCAGTGGGCTGAAGTCCTATCATTTTATGTTCTCTTGGTATCTATTTCATTAAAGTTTTCCCAGGCTGGAAGTGTAGGTCAGTCACCCTTGACACTTCCTACTATCACACCGTCCACAGATGGCTCAAGCTGGTGCCAAGAATAAGAACTTAGAAGCACGTCTGTGAAACTGGGCTCCCTGCTCTCACCGCTTCCTTTAAATGGACCGCTGAAGACAGACTGAGCACGTATGCCACAATGATCACGTTCTACACATGAGAAGACCTCCCAGAACTCGGGCCTGCTTGTTTCAACTCAACAAAGGAAATCTGTAACCCTGGACCCAATAAAGCATTGGCTCTGGAATACTCCATCATGTTCCTTTGCCTCTGTGTGTAGCCTCTCTGTGTTCTGTGCTGATGTGTCTCCTAATCACTGGAGGGATGTTCTCCGTCCAACTTTAATACAGTCAGTCATGTTGCTAAGCATTTCACATGCATTAAATAAACATTTTACAGTGAGTATTAGAAGAGTTAAATAACATTTATATTTTTAAAAAAGATTTTTTTTCTGACTGTAAAATGAATAATAAACTTGAAGAAAACAAGACCAATTACAGACATTTGGAAAAGTCCAAGCGAAACAGTCGTGCTTTGGAGCAGGCTAACAGGAACAAAAATACATGGAAATACTTAGCAGGTATATGCACAGGACTTGGTGACATAGAGGGATGCCCGAGATGACTCAATCAATCACCAGTCAACTCACCAATGATGGATGGTTTAAGAACATTTGCTGAAGGCTTCTCCTCATCCCTTACTTTCTTAAGGGCTCTCGTACTTGTGTGAAATCTTCTACATAGAATACAGTAAACAATCTGGTTGAAAGCTAAATTCTCTGATGAATGCTGCAGGTTCATCAGCCGCCAAAGGGTTTGCCACGGGGGGACACGGTTTTACAGTTTCTTTCCAGTGTGACACCTTTGGTGACAATTAAGGGATGACTTTGTTCTGAATGCGCTTCCACATTTCTCACATACATAGGGCCTCTGACCAGTGTGAAGTCTCTGATGCTGAGCACGGGAGGAGCCATCACCAAATGCCTTTCCGCACTCGGTACATCTGTAAGGCTTCTCTCCAGTATGAACCCTCTTATGTCGTATAAGGTAGGCAGTATGCGTGAAGGTTTTGCCACATTCGTTACACTCATAAGGTTTCTCTCCTGTATGGATTTTCTGATGTCTGGCAAGATAGGTACTTCTTTTGAAAAATTTACCACACTGCTGACATTCAAAGGGTCTTTCTCCTGTGTGGTTTCTCTGATGCATGGTCAGCTGGGAACTCTCTCTAAAGGCCTTCCCACATTCCTTACACTCATAGGGCTTTTCTCCACTATGAATTCTTGAGTGAACGACAAGGTGTATACTCTGCCGAAAAGCCTTCCCACACTCCTTGCATTTATAAGGTTTCTCTCCAGAATGTACTCTTTGATGGCCAGTGAGTGACATGCTGTGGCTAAAGGTTTTCCCACAGACATCACACTTGTACGGTTTCTCCCCCGTGTGAATCCTGTGGTGGACAGTCAAGGATGACCCACTGCGGAACGCTTTCCCGCACACGTTACATGTGTATGGTTTCTCTCCGGTGTGAATCCTCCTGTGCAAAGTCAGTCCTATGTGAACACTGAAGACTTTCCCACAGTCCGCACAGTCAAATGGCTTCTCTCCAGTATGATAATGCCTGAAGTGACGAGTTAGGGACATGTTGTACCTGAAGGCTTGACCACACTCAACACATTGAAAGGGCCGTTTGTCACTGTGACACCTCTGATGTTGAGCAAAGGTAGAACTGTCCCTGAAGGCCTTCCCGCATTCCTTACACTCATAAGGTTTCTCCCCGGTGTGAATCCTCTGATGCTGAGCCAGGTGGGCAGGCTGCCTGAAGGATTTTGTACACTCCTTACACTTGTACGGTTTTTCCCCAGTGTGAATTCTTTGGTGTACAATAAGGTACGAATTCTGGCTGAAGGCTTTCTTACATTCCTTGCACTCGAAGAGTTTCTCGTGGGTGTGTGTTGTGTGATGCTGAGCGAGGTGGTGGCTCTGCTTGAAGGCCTTTCCGCAGACTGTGCATTGATATGGTTTTTCGCCCGTGTGAATTCTCTGATGAACGGTAACCGATGAGCTGTGGGTGAAGGTTTTCTCGCATTCATTGCATTTAAAAATGTTCTTCCCTACCCAGATTTTCTTGTATTTTCGTACCTTGGGATTTTTGGAGAAGCTTTTCTGATTTGACTTGTGAGTATAAATACTCTCTTCTACACTATCCAGATAGGCAGATCTTAAAGATTTAGTGTGTTTGTAGCCTATTTCTTTAGTGTGAGTTCCTTTATGAGTGACTGTTTCTTTCAGGTTAAATATTTCTTGACTCGTCATCTGTCTATCAAAAAGGTCTTTGCATTTCTGTTTTCTTCCAGAAGTAAGAGACTCACAGTCAAGACTTGCAGTGTTCTCCACTGACACATCATCAAACGACAGTTGCCTCAGAGATAACTCTTGTGTCTTCTGTACAGATTCTCCACCTGAAAGAATGTAAAACAAAAAGTCTTCTTTATCACATGCTATTAACAAAAGCAGCATTTCAAGTGCAGCAATTCTCAACAATTTCATAAATGCCATATAATCGCATACAAGTATTTCAACTGGAAAATGTGCAAGGATGTCCCTGAGCATAAGAGCTTTGTGATAGTTAATCTGCAGAGGACGCTAGTAAAGCACACCTCTAGGTGTATCTGTGAAGTTGTTTCCAAAGCCATTAACTAGGGAGGTAACACCTTCCCTGGACATGAGTGTCACTATCCAATAAGCTGGGAGATTGACATAAAGAAAAAGGGAGGAAATTCTGTAGCAGGGCCAGGCTTCTGTTTGCTTTCTGGCTGCCATGACTAAATAGGTTTCCTCCACCATGCCCTTCCTCTATGCTAGTTCATGGCCACCAGTCCAAAAGCAACAGAGTCAGCTGACCATAGATGTAAACCTCTGAAACCAGGGGCCAGAAACAAAAACCCTTCCTCTCCTAAGTCAAACTAGAAACAAATATGGCAGCAGCAGGGCAGAGATATAGAACAACGTGGGGAAATGACAAGATAGACAAAGAGTAAGATAAGGTCCTAGAAGCCATCTGTAATGATAATGCTAATTTGGCCAGAATACAAATTAACTTCACTTCTGTCATGTCTCCTACCTTTTAAACTGTTTATTTATTTGTTTACTCATTCAGTATGTACGGATGATTTGTCTGCAAGTCTGTCTATGCGTCATGCGCATGCCTGGTCATGCCATGAAGATTCTCCTGGAACTGGAGTTGCAGACAGTTGGGAGCTGCCATGTGGGTGCTGAGAATGGAACCCAAGTCTTACCACTGAAGTAACTTTCCAGCCTCCGGTTTCCTACTTTTAATTAATTAGCATATATAGTTACGTTCACTTTGTTTAACTACCAATATATTTAATGACTACTGCTTTTCGGAACTCTCTAGAGCTTCCCAGCAACCACATATACCACACGATGCTTTATGACGTCTCTTGGCATTTAAAGGCAGGTGCATGAATATGATTTCATAATCAGAAAACAGTGCTCCTAAGTAAACCCTTTATGTGTTTGTGTCTCAATGCACCAAACTCTTTATTTCTCATACAACTCAGGCTTTGTAGTAAGGGTTTTTTTTCATTCATTTTTCTCATTTACAACAACTTAGGAAAAGTGTCACTTTTCAGGCCAGTTAATATGGGGTTTTGGAGGCAGAAGAGATGGCTCAATTGTCTGCTCTTCCAGAGGTCCTGAGTTCAATTCCCAGCAACCACATGGTGGCTCACAACCAGGTATACATGCAGAATACATGCAAATGAATGAATCTTAAGAAAAGATTGCTTTAAAAAAAATATGGAGTTTTGTTGTTATCTGATGGTTAGGAAAAGGTGTCTCAGGAAAGGACTATGGAGCTGAGACCGGCTCGTGAGCATGTCTGTAGGGCATCACCTTGACTGTCTGAATCGATGTGGAAGATCCAGCCTGAATATAGGCCGCACCATTCATTCTCAGCTTTGGGGCCCTGGACTGTGTTGCAGGATATTTGATCACATTGGGAACTCCAAGATTGTGAACTGGGAAAACCTAGTCAACCCTAGGTCAAGAGGCAGAGCAAGTGACCAGCCCACAGGGTATGAACATAAGTAAACTGAAAGGAGAGACACTGAGGAGACAGGTACTTTTTAAGACAGGGTGGGAAAGGATAAAGAAAGAGGCTTTTTCGTTCTGGGGCATCAGTGAATAGGGAAGTCAACTGGGTGCTTTCTCTGCCTCTTTGAGCTAGCAGACTGTCACCCCAGCATCCAGCTGGAGTCTTCGTTGGTAAAATCGAATGGCTAGGACTTTTGTTTTTTAAACAACAGGACTGTACATGAGTAGAGAAAGCTAGCTTTGTAACAGGCAAGCATGCTTCCACTCTCTCCACTCTGCTACCAGCTGTTTCAACGCCATGCTATGAATTCCCCACAATGATGGACTACAATGCAGCATTGCAAAAGCTAAAATAAACACTGTCCCCCTCGAAGCTGCTTTTGTCAGAGAGCTTCATCACAGCGACTGAAGTAGAACTAGGACATTCTCCTTTGTACAAAATGACTTACTACCGAGACAAGAGGAAGGCAGAAGAGACGAGCGTGAAGTAAAAAGGAATCCATTCCAAGCAAGGAAACTTCAACTCACACCCAGGACCCTAAGGTGTAGGAAGAGTTTCTGGGCAGCCTCAGCCCAGGTAAGGCCCTCTGAAGATGGTGGAACCGTTCCCTAGAAAGGTTTTTTTAACCTGCTTCTTGAATTCTCACCTTGTACTGTGCTTCTTGTCACCTGACCCTTCATCTCCCAAGGCTCCTTCCCGTGCTCCAATAAGGAGATTAGAGATGGTTTGGAAATGCAAGCTCCTGCATTTAAAAAAAAATACATAAAAATAGGCCGTGTTTTGGTTCAGTCCCTAAGTCAGCTCCTTAAATCTGATGCAACTAGAAAATAAAGGGACCAAACACATTTGAAGGACAGACTACATAAAACTCTGGAATAGTCTGGTGGCAGCTGTCAACAGTCCCCTACAGCAATTACACTGTTTCTTATGGAGTGGGGGAAGGATGAGAATTTAGCTGGGGGTGCGGGAGGGGTTAAAGGGCCATCGCAGTAATAAATGAGATTTTTTTTTTTTAATTGCCTGCTAGGAGATAGCTGTAAAGAGCGTCTAAGTGCTTGGGAGCTCATGGTTTTTTTTAATGAAATAGGTTCAATTTACAGCCCCCATAATTAGCAGATCCGAAACACCTCTGACTTCAGCCCCAGGAGATTTAAGACCTTCTTGTGCAGGGAACCACACTCAATGTACATACCTCCAGGTAGACACATATACATATACATTTTTGTTTTTTGTTTGTTTTTTTTTTTTTGAATCAGGGGTTCTCTGTGTAGCCCTGGCTATCCTGGAATTCACTCTGTAGACTAGACTAGCCTTTAACTCAGAGATCTACCTGCCTCTGCCTCCCAAGTGCTGGGATTAAACACATGTACCACAGCCGCCTGGTAGCATATATGTATTTTTTTAATGTATCTTTTAAAAATACAAATGAAATCTCATTTTGAAATTAAAATAAATAAATTTTTAAAGGCTGCTAGAGACTGGAGTTTGAGTCAAATGAACTACCTGTCTAAAACAGAACAATGTGATTATAATCCCAGCACTTGAAACACTGTGTCAAAACAAGCAACACTCTTCAGTAGCCGATGACAGGATCCAGAGCCTCTATACTTTCAGTGTATCTCCCAGGCTTAGAAGGGTCCATATTAGCAACTACAAGAGCCAAGCAGCTGAAGGTATCTTAAGACATTGGGTTTCACTTATTTAGCATAAATTAACAAAAAGATAGATATTTTGGGGGTAAGTGAGATGGCTCAGAAAGTAAAGCCACCTGCTAACCAAGCCTGATGACTTCAGCTGATCCAAGTTCTGTAAATCATACTCCAATCTATACGTGACGTGCACATGCCCCTCCCCCCACTAATAAAAATCAATGTAATAAAAAATTTAGGATACATATTTGAAAAGTGATTTTCTATATTTTTAGTAACCAGTAGCCATAGTCCTCTCTAGCCCTGTTACTTCCCTACCGGTTTTAAGACTCTTGAGGCTTTCCAGTGGCCAGGCAAAAACCTCCAGGTTCCACATATACAACACTCTCACTGCCCTAACAGCAGGACCATTCCAACAGAGAGAGAGAGAGAGAGAGAGAGAGAGAGAGAGAGAGAGAGAGAGAGAGAGAGAGAGAGAGAGAGAGAGAGAGAAGCCCAAGCTCTGGACTTGAAATCCAACCAATCCCTGGAAATCTCTTCCACCCCTACTTCCACCCCAACCCCCACGAAACACTAAGTACACAATGCCTGCTTCCCCTCAGTTCCCTGCTGCTTCTCAGCCAAGCAAAGGCAGCCACCCTCTTGTGTCTCTCCCAATAAATCTCTTGTGTGAGATTTGTTGTACGAGGTAAACATTTTGGTATTCCTTTCACTCCTGACTGCCAGGATACCTTTCCCTTGGAGACATCTCCTTGCATCCCCTCCCCCACCCCCAGAGCTGTAACACATTGGGGAATCCTTTCCCCTCGGAGGTGTAACAGTTACAGTGAGGAGAAGAGAGCAGAACTGTAACATAAAGGCAACACAGAACAGAGGTGCCTGCCACAGTTCCCACCACATCTGCTGTTCCAATGGCCTAAAGCTATAACTGCCAGCATCTGATATACGTCAAATTCACAGACTGCACCTAAATATTTCACCTAACCCTGACACAAGAAACACAGCTTTGGTAATAAAAGTGGGAAAGGTAAGAGCAGATTCTGGCTTATCCATAGGGAGGATTGCTTACCCACAGAAACCAAGTTCCAATAGTTCTCCAGCACCACTGTCCTGTACAAACTCCTCTGAGCAGGATTCAGCCACTCCCATTCCTCCTGAGAAAAGTCTATTGCAATGTCTTTGAATGTCACCGAGTCCTGAGATGACACAAATACATTTGCAAATTTTTGTTATGTTTTTATTCTTTTGTTTGGGGGGAGAGGGAAGAGCTCCCCTTGCGAGTCAGTTGCTCAGCTAGAGAAGACACAAGGGACTACATCTTGCATCGCTGCACTTATTAGAAATGTCTGGAAAGTTCA